CTGATATCACAACCTCTAAATTTTGGCCCTTCTTAGCCTTTATAATAAGAAGCCTGCTGCTCTCTGACTGCTACATAAACTAATGTAAACAAAAGGTCCAAAAATTACTAAAGGTGGCAGGTGGTTCATTAAGATGAACAGGGAACTTGGATCCACCTCAGGTGTCTGATCTGAACTTTACAAAAAGGCGGCCTCTAGTGGCTGAGTTTTTGTCATACAGCACAAAAAAGTCGGCAGATAATTGATTTAAAACTTTCTCCAATTAGCACTTACGGCTCATTTTCTTTTCTTTTTCAGAGGGTTTGTCAATTTTAAAGCGATCAACCACATCAGTTTTCCTCTACTGAATAAATCTGAATACTGAAAAACTTTCTAAAACAAATAAAAAGATAAATATAAGATGGAAGAAGCGCAAAAGTAAAAGCAGTGCATATGTCCCTTTGTTTTGCTTCCAAGATTATCCATGCGGTCTTTAGCAGCTTAACCTTGTTTTGATAGCTCACACACAGCATTTGCTCTCCCGGGCCTCAGACGCTTCAGCTCTCCCTCTCTCTGACCAACAATAACCTTTTACCCAGAGAGCTCCTATAGGACCAGAGCAGGGGCAGTTTCACAGCACAGCCAACCCATTCGTGCGCACTCAGGGAAATGGTGAGGTGGCACAAAGGCCTGAAACGTTATTGGCTCTGACCAGAATCAGAAGGAGGGGACTGTGACAATGAATGTGCTGAGACACATGTTTACAAGAATGGAGCAGAGAGGAAGAATGGAACTGCACGGGATCAATGAAAACTGTGAGTGTCATTATCAACTAAGATTTTTATAACCACAGAAAAAGACTCTCAGAAAAGTTTTATATTTCCATGTGGCTGTCTCTGATACTTGTTCTGAGCATTTTTGTGTGCTTGTATGTTTTATGAATGTCAGATTATCTGGTGTGTTTACTCTTAAATCTGTTTCTGGGTCAGTTGTAGTATTGAATGAATGAACTTCAGTGTGCCGAAAGCTCCCAGAGTCAAAGAACAAGAGAGAGGCTTTTACAATGTTTGTCCTGCAAGGAGGAACCTAAATATATCTGACAGCTTTTTCTTTCCTGGAAAAAAAGGAGAGTCACTCTCCTGACTTGCAAGGCTGGATTTGGGTGTCATACCTGAAGCTTGCTTAAAATGTTTGCATGATCTCTTGCAGATGGTGCCTCATTAGAACAGAATGACAGTGAAGAAAGTTAATGAAAGTGAGTCCAGGAGGACACTGTGAGCCTGCGAGTCACAGGACGAACGTGTAAAGCAGATGTTAAATGAGTAATCGCAGGAGTCGGTAGCTTCTGTCTCTGACTTTACTGTACTCTACCAAGTACTTTCCCTGCTCCTATCACACTGAGGCAAGGGGAGGAAAGCCATCATGAGTACTGTTAAGGCAAACTGTGAAGATCACTTCTCAGCGATGAGTAGCACTCAGCTGCTGAACACTTCGCCCGAAGAGTCTGTGTTTGCTCCACAGCCTTCCCAGAGGATTTCACCCACCGTGTTGACGGTCCCCTGTGGGGTCTTTGGCCCCTTGCCGCCGCCTCCTGCAGTCTGGCCTCCACTAGACTTCGCCCTGGGCGCTCTTGCCTGCTGCGCAGCCTGTGTGTTCACCAATCCTCTGGAGGTGGTGAAAACCCGTCTGCAGCTACAGGGGGAGCTTTGTGCTCGGGGATCCTACCAGAGACACTACCGCGGGGTCCTGCAGGCGCTCTGGGTGGTGGGCCGCACGGATGGGCTACGGGGC